AGGAAAGGAAAATTCCTGTTAATCTGAAAAATGAAAAAAAAGAACCAGAATTAAAAAATTTAAAAAAAAGGTTTTTTTTAATATTGGGGACTGTATTGGGGGGGTGTTACCAATTAATAAATAAAATTAATTAATTTTATATTTATAAAAAAAAAAAATTATATAGTAAAATTTAATTTTTTTTTTTTTTTTTGTTTAATAAATTTTAAATATATTTTTTTTTAAATATATATATAAATATATTTATTTATTTTTTATTTATATAATATAAATAAAAAAAAAATTTTAAAATTATATAAATTTTTAAATTTTTAATTTAATTTTTTAAAAAAAATTAAATTTAAAAATTTATTACTAATATATTTTTAATTTAAAATTTATTTTAATAAATAATATTAAAAAATTTTTTTATTTATTTATAACACCTCCGATCCCCCCAAGCCCGCCCCCCGAAAAAACCCCCTTTTTTTCCCCCTCCCTCCAACCTTTCCTAGGCCGACCCCTACCCCGCCTTCCTTCCACTACAGACTGATACACTCTTGAAGTCATTCTGTTTCGCTCCATCCTCTCTACATGTCCGAACCACCTCAACAACCCTTCCTACGCCCTCTGGACAACAATTTTGGTAATCCTGCACCTCCTCCTAACTTCCAAACTACGAATTCTCTGCATTATATTCACACCACACATTGCACTCAGACATGACATCTCCACTGCCTCCAACCTTCTCGCTGCAACATTCATCACCCATGCTTCACACCCATATAAGAGCGTTGGTAAAACTATACTCTCATACATTCCCCTCTTTGCCTCCAAGGACAAAGTTCTTTGTCTCCACAGACTCCTAAGTGCACCGCCCACCCTTTTCCCCTCATCAATTCTATGATTCACCTCATCTTTCATAGACCCATCCGCTGACACGTTCACTCCCAAATATCTGAATACATTCACCTCCTCAATACCCTCTCCCTCCAATCTGATATCCAATCTTTCATCACCTAATATTTTTGTTATCCTCATAACCTTACTCTTTCCTGTATTCACTTTTAATTTTCTTCTTTTGCATACCCTACCAAATTCATCCACCAACCTCTGCAACTTCTCTTCAGAATCTTGCCAAGACCCTCGCATTTACTTCTCTTACAACCCCATCTATAAATATAATAAACAACCACGGTGACATCACACATCCTTGTCTAAAGCCTACTTTTACTGGGAAATAATCTCCCTCTTTCCTACATACTCTAACTTGAGCCTCACTATCCTCGTAAAAACTCTTCACTGCTTTCAGTAACCTACCTCCTACACCATACACCTGCAACATCTGCCACAATGCCCCCCTATCCACCCTGTCATACGCCTTTTCCAAATCCATAAATGCCACAAAAACCTCTTTAGCCTTATCTAAATACTGTTCACTTATATGTTTCACTGTAAACACCTGGTCCACACACCCCCCACCTTTCCTAAAGCCTCCTTGTTCATCTGCTATCCTATTCTCCGTCTTACTCTTAATTCTTTCAATAATAACTCTACCATATGCTTTACCAGGTATATTCAACAGACTTATCCCCCTATAATTTTTGCACTCTCTTTTGTCCCCTTTGCCTTTATACAAAGGAACTATGCATGCTCTCTGTCAATCCCTAGGTACCTTACCCTCTTCAATACATTTATTAAATAATTGCACCAACCACTCCAAAACTATATCCCCACCTGCTTTTAACATTTCTATCTTTATCCCATCAATCCCGGCTGCCTTACCCCTTTTCATTTTACCTACTGCCTCACGAACTTCCCCCACACTCACAACTGGCTCTTCCTCACTCCTACAAGATGTTATTCCTCCTTGCCCTATACACGAAATCACAGCTTCCCTATCTTCATCGACATTTAACAATTCCTCAAAATATTCCCTCCATCTTCCCAATACCTCTAACTCTCCATTTAATAACTCTCCTCTCCTACTTTTAACTGACAAATCCATTTGTTCTCTAGGCTTCCTTAGCTTGTTAATCTCATTCCAAAACTTTTTCTTATTTTCAACAAAATTTGTTGATAACATCTCACCCACTATCTCATTTGCTCTCTTTTTACATTGCTTCACTACTCTCTACTCTCTTAACCTCTCTCTTTTTCTCCATATACTCTTCCCTCCTTGCATCACTTCTACTTTGTAAAAACTTCTCATATGCTAACTTTTTCTCCCTTACTACTCTCTTTACATCATCATTCCACCAATCGCTCTTCTTCCCTCCTGCACCCACTTCCCTGTAACCACAAACTTCTCCTGAACACTCTAACACTACATTTTTAAACCTACCCCATACCTCTTCTATGCTCTCATTAGCCCATGTATCCTCCAATAGCTGTTTATATCTTACCCTTACTGCCTCCTCTTTTAGTTTATAAACCTTCACCTCTCTCTTCCCTGATGCTTCTATTCTCTTTGTATCCCATCTACCTTTTACTCTCAGTGTAGCTACAACTAAGAAGTGATCTGATATATCTGTGGCCCCTCTATAAACATGTACATCCTGAAGTCTACTCAACAGTCTTTCATCTACCAATACATAATCCAACAAACTACTGTCATTTCGCCCTACATCATATCTTGTATACTTATTTATCCTCTTTTTCTTAAAATATGTATTACCTATAACTAAATCCCTTTCTATACAAAGTTCAATCAAAGGGCTCCCATTATCATTTACACCTGGCACCCCAAACTTACCTACCACACCCTCTCTAAAAGTTTCTCCTATTTTAGCATTCAGGTCCCCTACCACAATTACTCTCTCACTTGGTTCAAAGGTTCCTATACATTCACTTAACATCTCCCAAAATCTCTCTCTCCTCTACATTCCTCTCTTCTCCAGGTGCATACACGCTTATTATGACCCACTTTTCACATCCAACCTTTACTTTAATCCACATAATTCTTGAATTTACACATTCATATTCTCTTTTCTCCTTCCATAACTGATCCTTCAACATTACTGCTACCCCTTCCTTAGCTCTAACTTCTCAGATATTCCAGATTTAATCCTATTTATTTCCCCCCACCGAAACTCCCCTACCCCCTTCAGCTTTGTTTCGCTTAGGGCCAGGACGTCCAACTTCTTTTCATTCATAACATCAGCAATCATCTGTTTCTTGTCATCCGCACTACATCCACGCACATTCAAGCATCCCAGTTTTATAAAGTTTTTCTTCTTCTCTTTTTTAGTAAATGTCTACAGGAGAAGGGGTTACTAGCCCATTGCTCCCGGCATTTTAGCCGCCTCATACGACACGCATGGCTTACGGAGGAAAGATTCTTTTCCACTTCCCCATGGACAATAGAAGAAATAAAGAAGAACAAGTGCTATTTAGAAAAATGCGTGTCTGTGAAGTGTGACCAAAGTGTAGGTAGGAGTAGCAAGATATCCCTGTTATCTAGCGTGTTTATGAGACAGAAAAAGAAACCAGCAATCCTACAATCTTGCAAAACAGTTACAGGTTTCTGTTTCACAGTCATCTGGCAGGACGGTAGTACTTCCCTGGCTGGTTGCTGTCTACCAACCTGCTACCTATATATATATATATATATATATATTATATATAATATATATATATATATAATATATATATATATATATGTATGCAATAAGATCACAGTAAACAGGTGATTTCAGAATATGCAAAACAACCACTCTGAAAGAATAGAGAAATTCCAAGCGCTTTCGTGACTACTCACTACATGTGAGTAGTCACGAAAGCGCTTGGAATTTCTCTATTCTTTCAGAGTGGTTGTTTTGCATATATATATGTATATATATATAAAAGACAAACCAAGGGGGGATGGAAATCATCAGCTCAAGATCCTTCACACGTCTCTGTGCGTCGTCAAGAGCTGTATAATGTTGCAAGAGTAGCAGCAACAGGTAGAATAACGGGAAGTTTTCTTAAAGGAAGGGTAGCGTGTTGATGCCAGTTTGTTCCTCGGAGGAGGAGGAGGAGGCCTTCAAGAGGGAGCTGGACAGATACCTAAAGTCAGTGCCGGATCAGCCGGACTGTGGTTCGTACGTTGGACTACGTGCGGACAGCAGTAACAGCCTGGTTGATCAGGCTCTGATCCACCGGGAGGCTTGGTCGTGGACTGGGCCGCGGGGGCGTTGATCCCCTGAATAACCTCCAGGTAGACTACAGGTAAGATGACCAGGATAATGTTTCAAACATTATCATTAATATGTTAAATGCTTTGCAGCACAATTATACCAGTTATACCAATTATACCAGTTATACCAATTATACCAGTTATACAATTATCTAGCGAAACTGGAAAACTACGGATAACCACGTGTTATAAGTGCCTGCAAGTTGAAGAATGAGACACTTACCTGGAGGTTACCTGGAGGTTATTCCGGGGATCAACGCCCCCGCGGCCCGGTCCACGACCAGGCCTCCCGATGGATCAGGGCCTGATCAACTAGGCTGTTACTGCTGGCCGCACGCAGTCCGACGTACGAGCCACAGCCCGGCTGATCCGGCACCGACTTTAGGTATCTGTCCAGCTCTCTCTTGAAGGCAGCCAGGGGTTTATTGGCAATTCCCCTAATGCTTGATGGGAGGCTGTTGAACAGTTTTGGGCCCCGGACACTTATGGTGTTTTCTCTTAGTGTACCAATGGCGCCCCTACTTTTTATTGGCGGCATTTTGCATCGCCTGCCCAGTCTTTTACTTTCGTAGGGAGTGATTTCTGTGTGCAGATTTGTGCAACATTTTACAACTTTTATTGCAAAAACGTTTCAACATCCAGTTGGGAAAGTTTTCCGTGTCTCTTCAACTTGTCAATTTTCTAAACCACTAACATCAAGGCTACAAGTGTTCAGCTTAACCTAGCCTAAATTAAAATAAAGAAAACAGCATTTGTAAGTATATAGAAAATGTTAAGAAGCTGATGTTTGGGAACCTTGTAAAGAAGTGAATGAAGTCAAACGACTCTGTCTAACACTCACACATATGTGTGGTTGACGGCAGGTGATGCTCCAGATCGGGAAGTTGGCAGCCAGCAGCGCGCACCTCTCCCAACACTGTCAACAAAAATTATAAAATTAACTTGGCAAGTCAACAAAAGCAAAATGAAAAAGTAACGGAGAGGAGATACGTTAAATGTAAGAAACAATATCGTTTGTGTAACAATTCATAGGTAACACAATAACTGAAGATGAAAGGAACGTTTCGATCAGTCGTAGACAATAATAGTAGTATACCTTTACCTCTGATATACCTTTAAGGAGTTTTCAGAGTTCTTCTACTCCTGGTACATTCCACAGTGAATGTCTCTTTCGGTATGCTTAAATTTCCTTACACACTTCCTACATATTTCGTTTGTGGACATTCTGACAGCTGGTGCTGGTGGCAGGGTTGAGGGAGGTGGTGGCAGAGGAGGGTATAGTAGTGACAACACTGGTGGTAGAGATCAGAGTGGAAGATAGACGGTTGAAATGGTGGTGGCAGTAGTGGCGGTGTTGGAGAGGAGAGAGATGGCAGAGCAGGTGATGGAGGTGGTGGCCTCTAGCAGAGAATTCGGCGAGGGTGGCGGAGAGGCGAGGCAGTTTGTGATGGCGGGAGTGGCGGTGGTGGCAGAGTGGAGGAGGAGGTGTTGGAGGTTTGTCGTTTGAGATGTTTGAGTCTTAGGTCTAAAGCCAATACCTTTTTATATATTTTTTTAAATAGGCATTCTCTTGTGCCCATTGTGAGTATTCTACCCAGTCCTCGCATGATGTGCTAATCATATTCTCTGTTTTTTAGGCTACTTGTCTGGTCGACTAGTAGTGTGCAGTATGGTGGGAGGATGGTGGAGTGGCCGGCTCTCTTGGTGGTGGGAGGATGGTGGAGGGGCAGGCTGTCGTGGTGGTGGGAAGATGGTGGAGGGGCAGGCTGTCGTGGTGGTGGGTGGATTTTGCGGTGTATGGTTATGGGTGCCCCGAGTGAGTTGTAAACTGGAAGGGAGTCTGCCTAAACACTCGTCCTCTCTCTCTCTCCTTTTTTTTTTAACACAGGGCTTTGACAAGGTTAGGTTAATTTTAAGGATCCCTAGCTTTATTGACAAGCTATTTACAGGTTAAGGATTCCTAACTTTATTGACAAGCTAAGAGCTGTTACCTACATCAGCTCATTTGAAAGCATTTTTATTGTTATGAGACATACAAGTAGGGAACAGGATGAAGTTGGAGCCATCTGTGGGCCAGCATTTTCATTTGATCAAATGACTTTATCTCTTTAACATCATAATGCTGTACGAACGTGTTCCAGACTCGAGTCATCCTGGGATAAATGATCTCAGATGTAGTGATGTTCTGGAGAAGGATACAGCCAGAGTGAGGTTGCTGTTTTCTGCCCGTCTTGTGGTATAGAAGCTTGCTTCTCACTGTCCTCGAAGTGGATCCAAGTGTGGTACTTTGACAATATTAGCCTTGTACATAACAGAAGGGCACCCACATCCCTCCTGTGTTGAAGGCTCTGCTGAAATGACAGAGCTATCCAGGATGGGTCCAGGCGAGAGATGAGACTGCTCTGTTCTCTACTCTGTCTACTCTGTCTACTCTCTCTCTCTCTCTCTCTCTCTCTCTCTCTCTCTCTCTCTTTCTCTCTCTCTAAATAATTTGGTAGCATATGCACACGTTTATAATTTCCTTCACTTCTGAACTACACACAAAGTACAGCTTCCTGGAGCAGTGGACAGACGTATTACTGGTGACTGGCTTCACATTTACGGTATATGACAGCTTCACACTCCACTATATTTGCGTACAAGTGGCTTTCTTTTGTGCCTAACAATGTTTTATGTTACAAGTAAACTATTTTATCTTTGTACAGCATAAGAGAAATAAAAATTTGAATTTGAAGTAAGTTTGTTTAGGTGCAGGTACACATAATTACAGAAACACAAATTTAAATAATTAAAATGATCATACATGATATCATAGGGTAAATTACCTAGGATAATCCAAAAAAGGTCAGAATAAGTGACTTATTTCCATTGGAGTCCTTGTAATATCTGTAACTTAAATACTCAACTACATTTATATTAAAAGTATTCTTGTAGATCATTTACAAGGTTGTTGTTATACCTAAACATTAAAGTCACTAGTGTATGTTTCTCACTATATACCAATACCCCAGTCACTCAGTATTTGTCGACAAGTCACTTTGAGTGAACATTTATAGTCCCAGGTGATACCGCTATGCCTCTCCACAAACTTTTATTCCTGTATTGTTACCAGTTATACTTTCTGTGTACTTTTCTAATGCATCACTCGTTTGGATATCCTACGTTCTAATTAACATCCCTAACGTATCTTTCATCAATGTATCTTTCACAACTGGATATACTGAATGTTGAAGACAGTGAAGCAGCTGCAGATAAATAATGTTTATGAAATTGCTTACAAGTGGTATCTAGAATTCTAACCTTTCTGCCAAGTTTGTCAAGGTTAGGAACCATAGCCAGTATAGTACTAGGGGAAGTGAACATAGTATTGTAGTACCTACAGTAAGGTGGTCAGGCCTCAAATATCTTTTATTAAGTAGAAATAAAGCAGTGAAACGGATTGCCTGAAGGTGTCAAGGCCAGTCTTAGTATGGACCAGTTCAGGGAGTGAACTACGAGGTTCCTGATGAATAAAGCTACAAAAAGGGAGGAAAGTAATTTAAGAACATAAGAACATAAGAAAGAAGGAACACTGCAGCAGGCCTACTGGCCCAAGCGAGGCAGGTTCAAGTCTTTCATGAATAGTTAACATTCGTGTACCTATTAGTGTAAGTGGATTTTCTCTACTTATTCGTGTAAATTACTTAGTTCACTTTATTCCCATTGTAGCTCTTTTTAATGTAAGTGATTTTCTCGCAGTTCTGCCACTTAGTTGTTTTAATTTCTAATGTTATTAATCATGACTGATTTCTACTGTATTTAATAATTAAGTTGTATGAATATTAGCCAATGTTTCCCCTCTGGACTACTTACTTGTAACTTTCTCGTACTTTAAAGCACTTTTCAAGCTTTTCTTTAAAAACTCTCTGCTGTGTACTATTGCACTAATCTTACTACTTTTTCTTTCTGTTCCACATTCACAATTTTGTGTGTTGAAATACGGGAAAATGCCACCAACGGCCCTCGAGCCCTCGAATACTGAATTAAACTGGCCACCAAACTGAACACAATATTCTTGTGTTTTCCCTGGAAAAAAGCATCGCTATTACCCGCTACAAGTGGCAATTTGTTCCCAGTAATGGGAGAAGCATTAAAATAAGAAAAGTTCAGAGAGAAGATCTGAAGGTGGGAAATCGCTTCTCTGTTCACCAGGACGAGAGTACTTCAGTGGTCAGTGAAGCTAAAGGTACTAACCCCCCCTCCCCCCCGCTAAAAGAGGTAAGAACATTTTTATGGTTGATGACTCGCAGGTAAGATATATGGACCGTGCTTTCTGTAACAGAGTGAGACAGAAAGTGTGTTTCCCAGGAGCTGGTGTTGATGACATAGTCAACAGATTGGATAATATCACATCAGGTAGTGGGAACAAGACCATTATCTGTCTCAGTGCTGGTGGAAATGATATTGGGAAGGGCAGGAGACTGGGGTCCCAATTATATGTATCATCTTGCCTAGAGAGGGAGTGGGTAGTGAATGGATGTCTACGGAAATTGGTGTATATTGCTGGCTAGAAAGGTACTGCAAGAATCTTGCAGATGCATTCATTGATAAGTGGAACAACTTCTTTGGCAAACGTGATATGTATGCAAAGGATAGGGAATATCTCTCTGGGGCAGGAGTGACAGCATTAGCCAACTTGATTGAGGGGGGCCAACTTGTTTAGAATTTTAAACTGATAGAAGATAAAGGTATAGGTGTGTGTGGGAAACAAACAAATCGTAGAACAAGGGCTAAAAACAGCAAATATTACCAGGATACCTCTGGGATATGTTTAAAAGACATTATTCATCATAAAGTTACAAATAAAGGCAATGGAAATGGTCAGCAAACAAAGAGACAGTAGAGGACACCGACTGACTAGCTCCCTTATGCTTTACTATACTAATAGTAAGAGTGTAAGAAATATGATGGATGAGCTAAGATTATTTGCAAGTGCAGGAAGCATAGATATTATCCCTATAAGACAGACCTGGTTCAACCTGAAAAATAAAGAAATGCCTTTTGAATGTCACATACAACGTTATTAACTATTCTTTACTGATAGGGTCAACAGGAAAGGTAGTAGAGGGGCGATGTGTGTCAGAGATAATTTAAATTGTTGCATTAGACATGATATAAAATCAAAAACCTGGACACTGAATCTGTTAGGCTACAATTTCCCGAGGTTCGGGAAAAACTAATCATGGGTGTGATTTACTGGCCTCCAAACCTTCACAGGGAGTGCAGTAAATTTCTATGGAACGAAATTCGTAAGGCATCTAGAAACTATTGTGCTAATGGGAGATTTAAACTTTAGACAAATTAATTGGAGCTGTCTGACAGGAAATCTTGAATCTAGTGAATTTCATGATACAATTCAGCATTGTTTTTTAAAGCAGTCTGTGACAGAGCCAACTAGAGGAAACAATCTGCCTGACTTTGTTCTTGACAACAAGGAAACACTAATTAATAATCTTGAGATTAATGCTGATCTTAGGGAAAGTGATCACAAATCACTCAGTTTCAATACATCATGGAATTACCCTAATAACTACAATCAAGTCTCTGTCTCTGACTTCCACTGAGCTGATTTCATAGGACTAAGAAGTTACCTGGGTGGGCTGAATTGGAATGATTTGACTATGGGTCAGGTAGGTGGTGCTGGTTGCCGATATGACGATTTTCAGAGTATAGTTCTAGCTGTTCAGACGTTAAGTTCTAAATAGGGAAATTAGATCAAATAAAAATGATCGTAAATGAATAAACAATAGATTAAAATATCTCATTGGTCACAAGAGAGTCTTGTGCAGGCGAATAAAAAAAGGGAAGGTGCAGTTAGGAAATCAATATATTCAATTAAAGAGAGAAATAAAAAGGGGAATAAAAAAAGCAAAAAGA